GGGCCCCACAAAGACCTTCCTTCAGCCAGGGCCACCTATAGAGGGCTTCTTTCCCTTGCCTCAACAGGTTTCCAAGTGCGCCATGATAAAGCGCTCCATTGCAAAGTGGACCTCAGGAGCTACTTGTCTTGCATAACTGACACCTTATACCTCCTAACAGCAATTCCTCCAGTTCCTAACTCAGCTCCTAAAAACCAACATTTACTCTCTGCTTCCATGGGTTTATTTTAGATGCCACCAGTAAGTGACACCTGCAGCATTTGTCCTTCCATGTCTGGCTCATTTGGCTTATCTCTAGGTTCATCCTTGTTGTGAATTGGTGACAAGCCTAGAGATGGCAGGTGCCAGGTAACCAGTGCAAGGTCTGCGCCAAGAAGCAGAAACTTCAAGGGAGATGGGAGCTACAGAGGGATGTTGAGCAGAAGTATTACAAGGGCAGATCTGTGCTGCAGGACTGCCACTCTGGCTGCTGGTGGGAAATTGGATATTAGTGTGACTCCAGCTGACCCCCCACAGAGCACCTGAAGTGCTTTAAATTGCTGAGTTACATTGACTTATTTCAATGTATCCTTTTAGAGAGTCACTCCCATTTTACAAATTAGGAAAATGGGGAGCCAAAGAAGTGAGTTAACTTGCCCAGCCTCAAACAACCACTAGGGGTGGAGCCAGGATCATCCTAGAGTGGCCCCAGGGTCTTTGCTGTTAACTGCAATGATCAACTTTAGGAAACTGTTTGCACTAAGAATCTGCTTATCCTGGGCAGAGAGTCCCCTGAAGGAACACAGATTCCTGCAGAAGCCATTCAAATTCAGACCCGCACACAGGGAAAGTTCAGAAAAACTAAGTCCCTAATTAAGAGTGGAAGCAATGGCTCTGCTGAGTATGGCTGGTGTGTCACGTGATGTGCACAGCTCTTGAACATTAGTGTGCTGCTCTGATCCGCAGAACAACTCTGGTGTTACAGAGCTGATTGTTGCCATTTTATAGATTAGGAATCTAAAGCCCAGAGAAGTTAAGTAACTTGTCCAAGGTCACAACATGCTTAGACCACCAAGTGGTCTGCCCTGAAATTTTCCCTTATGTCAGAAAGGATCCAGGATCAGGTAAGAAGGAAGGTCTAAAAAAAGGAGAGGTGAGACTAAGCTGTTCACAGTTCACCTGGGATCCATCCAGAATCAGAGAATGAAAAAATAGGTGAGCTTAAAAAGAACCCGCCGGACACCGTCTCTCTAACTTGGAGGCCATTGGTCTCCTTTTTCAAAAATTGTTTTTGTTGTGCAGTAGAGTCGAGCACAGCAATGGGTTCATTTTGACATCATTAAACAAGCATGGGGTATCATTTACTTCATTTCAAATACCTTCCCCTGTCCCTCCCCTCCTCCCTCTCTTGTTCCTTTTCCTCTACTCTATTGGTCTTCTATTTATTTCTTGCTTTTACAACTGGTGCATTTTAGATATATGTAAAATTGAAACTCTCTGTGGTGTATTCATATAGGTACACAGTGAATTTGGTCAATTTATCTGCACTGTTTGTCTCTATTGCTTTCCCTCCATCCTCTCCTCCCTCTGCTCCACAAATCTCTCTTCTCTTTTCATTGAATCCTCCCCCCTCCCTTTTTAAAAATTTCACTCTAATCCAGGAGAGAAAAAATGTGGCAGATTTCAGGAAGCAGGATCTTCTCCAGTTCTCGCCTTTTACTAGTGAATGACATGGTGCCACCCCTCTTTGTGGCTGAGTAGAACTCCATTGTGCACATCCACCACATTTTCTTTACCCATTTATCTGTTGATGGGACCTGGTTGGGTCCAGGAGTTGGCTATTGTGACTTGTGCTGCTGTAAAACTTGACTTGCTTGTTTCCCAATCGTATGTTGACTTTAGTTCTTTTGAATAAATACCGAGGAGTGGGATAGCTGGGTCCTATGGTGGTTTCATTCCTAGTTTTTTGAGGATTCTCTCTACTGCTTTCCTCAGTGGCTAATTTGAAGTCCTACAAACAACATGAGTGCACCTTTCCCCACCCCATGCTGATCAGCATTTTCTTGTTTTTGTGTTCTTCATGATTGCCATTCTAACTGGAGTGAGATGAAATCTCCATATAGCTATGGTCTGCATTTCCTTCATTGTTAGGGATGGTTAACTTTTTTTTCACATATTTGAACATTTATTTATATATTTCTTGGCCATATTTTGTTCTTTGGATAAACATGTTTAGTTCTTTTGCCTATTGAAAGATTTGGTTATTTGTTTTTTTCTGGTGTTGAGCTCTTGAGTTCTTTATATATTCTGGATGTTAGTTTCTTATCTGAGGAGTGGCTGGGAAACATTCTGTGGGTTCTCTCTTCACACTCTCATTTCCTTTACTTTACAGACGCTTTTTAATGAATGTCTTCCCATTGACTGATTCTTGGTTTTCTTTCTGGAGTCTGAGGGTCTTGCTGAGGAAGCTGGCATCTGCGCCAATATGTTGGAGTATTGCATTGGCCCTGTTTTCTCCTGGCATTCACAGGTTTCCAATTCCTAAGTTTTTGATACATTTAGATTTGACTTTTGTGCAGGGTGAGTGACAGGGACCGAGTTTTATTCTTCTACATATGGATATCTAGTTTTCCAGCCCTATTGCTTAAAAAACAATCTTTTATCTGGCATATGTACTTGGCATCTTTTTCAAGTATCCGATGGCAGGAACTATGTGGGTTTGTCTCTGTGCCTCTGTCTATTCTATTGGTCTTTGAGTATGTTTTGATGCCAATACTGTGCAGTTTGGTTACTGTAGGTCTGTAGTACAACATGAAGTCAGGAATTGTGATGCCGCCAGTGTCACTCTTCTGGGTCAGGATTGTGTTGGTTATTCCAGGTCTCTTACTCTTTCATATGAATTTTAGGACTTTTCTCATTCTGTGAAGAATGTCGTTGGTATTTTAGTGGGATGGTATTGAACCTGTGTATCACTTTTGATGATATGGCCATTTTAACAGTGTTAAGTCTGCCTGTCCATGAACAGGAGAGGTTTTTCACCTTCAAATGTCTTCAATTCAATTCAGTGTTCTGTAGTTTTCATTGTAGAGATTGCTCACCTCCTTAGATTTACTTCCAAGTATTTAAAGAATTTTTTTTTGAGGTTATTGTAAGCAAAATAATTTTCCTTATTTTTTTTATTGGCACAATCATTATTAGAGTATAAGAAAGGTATTGATCTTTGTTTTCTTAACATTGTTTTATGTTGATCTTGAATCCTGATACTTTGCTGCAATTGTTTATAAGCCTTAGAAATCTTCTTGTGAAAATTTGGGGTCCTCTGCATATAGAAACATGTCATTAGCCGACAGATCATTATTTGACTTCTTCTTTTCCTGTTTTTTTTTTCTTTTTAAGTTCCTTCTCTTGATATTTGATCTGCATAGAACTTCGAGAATTATATGGAATAGGAGTGGTGAAAAGTGGACATCCTTGTCTTATTTGTGATTTTAGAGAAAATGTTTCAGTTTTTCTTCATTTAGTATAATGTTGATCTTGGATTTGTCACAAATAGCCTTCATGCTGTTGAGGTGAGTTCCTTCTAACCCTAGTTTCTCAGTGTTTTTAATATGAACAGGTGCTGGATTTTGTTCAAGGCTTTATTCCCTTCCTGTTTTTAATTCTATTTGTGAGCTGAAATACATTTGCTGATTTGTGTATATTGAACCATCTTGCATCCCTGAGATACAATTCTCTTGACTATGTGGTATGGTCCTCCTAATGTGTTTTTTTAAAAATACCTTTATTTTTATGTGGTGCTGAGGGTGGAACCCAGTGCCTCATATATTCAAGGCAAATGCTCTGCCACTGAGCCACAGCCCCAGCTCCTCTTAATGTGTTTTTGAATACAGGTTGCTAATGTTGTATTTAGGATTTTTGCATCAGAGATATATTTTATTAAGGATATTGTGTTAATAAGCGATATTGTTCTGAAATTTTCTCTCCTTGCTGTCTTTGTTTGGTTTAGGCATCAGGTGACATGGGCTTTATAGCATGAATTTGA